AATGTTTACTGCCCTCCAAAAGCACTGATGCCCTATGCTGATGAGCACTGGGCTCTTTGCAACCCCAGTACCCAGAAGGGGGTGCTGGCTGAGAGCAGAATAAGTAGAATCTACCTGTCCCCAGTGGAGGCAAGTAGGGGGTCGCATGGCAAACCAGTTTTAGAGGATCACTCAAAAGTTTAAAATGCAAGCAGGTATCAGTGTACAATGTGAAGAAAGACACCAGACATGTTTACAAATACTTTAATGAATCTTAGTTTTATCAATATTTACCTTGCAGGCTCCTGCAATGTTCAAAGCTGTCCCATGGTGGGTCTAACTTCCAGACTAATTATACTGGGTCCCCAATCCTCACTGCTGAAACTCCTGGTTGAACACTGAGGGAGTTCCCACTTTTGCCATGATTTCAACATGTCTGGAGTCTTTATTTACATTTGACACCCATTTTATACCCATACCCACTAGACATGTGCAATTCGTTATTCGGACGAACTTTTGGAAGTTCGGATATATCCAAATCTCCGAATGACAGAAATGACGAATGAAAACAAATCCGAAATTCCGCTAACGAAAATTGAGCTCCCGAATGCCATTCGGCCTGTGAGCCGAGGTGTCATATGAATAGTATTATGGCGTTCGGGAGCTCACGAATAGCATTCAGGAGCTCACAAATGCTATTGTGTTCATGTGCAATGATAGCTGAGAATTTCAAATGGGCAGAGTGAGCCGTGATGTCACGGTTCGTTCCGCCCATCTGTTTACATTCTGCCCAGAGATGTCATTTTGCGGCAAGTTTTTGTCGGTTTCAGACGGGAAGTCATGTGGCAGGACTTTTTTAATTTCGGCAGTGACGCTGGATTACATCGATGGAGCAATTTTTTGAAAAAATAAAGAAATAGTCAAAAATCGACTGTTTTTTTTTTCCAATAAAAGGATTTTTTCCTAAAAATGTGTTGTTTATTTACTTTTACTTTTAACCCTTTAGTGAATGAGTAGGGGTACAGGTACCCCTTATTCACAAGGGGGGGAGGCAGCATCTGGGTGCCCCTTAAAGGTGTACCCCTATGAAAATAAGCCCCCTGCCTGCAGACCCCCCACAACCCCCGGATAAGGGTTGGGAGGAAGAGACCCTTGTCTCCATCGGCATGGGGACACCCTCCGAATGCCGAGGGCACGTGGCCTGGTGAGGTGCACGGGTGGGATCAATCATCCCCCCCTTTCCTGCCCTGCCGGGCCTGTGCTCGGATCAAGGCTCTGGTAGGAATTTTAGGGGAGAACCCATGTTCTCCCCCCCATTTTTGGGGGGTGGGACCTAAAGGGCCTGGTACGGCTTTTGCGGGGTAATGTTTTCTTTCAAAATCCCAATAGTGATGTGACAATGAACTGTGAGATAAATAAAATATTAAATAATTCAAATAATAAACAAAGATCAAAAAGAAAAAGTTCAAATAGTGAGAAAATTCTTCTTAATCTAAGTCTTCCAATTAGCAATTGGACTTTTTATTTTTGATCTTTGTTTATTATTTGAATTATTTAGTATTTTATTTATCTCACAGTTCATTGTCACATCACTACTGGGATTTTGAAAGAATAAATTACTGTGTTTCATGCTTGTTTATTTGGTTACTTTGTGTTTAATAACATATGTCACATATTTTGTATAATAATTTTCTTCACTATTTGAATCTTTGTCACATTTTTCATTGGGATTTTTTTTCATGTTTCACATTGATTTATGAACATATAATTTTTTTTTTATTTTGAAGTTTGATAAAACTTATAAAACTCTTCTTTCTCATAGCAGCTAATTCTACCATTTAGCTGACTTTCCAAAATATTGCTCTAGATGTTCAAATTCTCCTACCAATTCCCCTGCAATTCACCTTTTTAGTGAATTGGCCTGCTATTTTGAAAAAAAGTATGGAGAAGTATGAAGTATGAAGAACCTTAGACCTCTGCAGCACAGAATAAACAAAGGATCAATACCAGATCTTCAAATAATATTTTTATTAAGCTTGCCGGGAACACGCAGCAATTCTGGCACATTCAAATAATATGGACTCACAGACCCCTTTTCATAGGGATCTGAACAATAGAACCACGTGTTACCTTGAATTATCTCCAAAATCAGGTAACAATGCCACCCTGTATTTGATTTTGCCAATAACATTAGATGGGTCTTCTTGCCTTGATAGGACTTCCTCACATCAAGGTTAGAGGACAGCTGTCATGTCATTGGACCTATTGCTCCTTGAGCCCATGTCAAAAACATTTTTATGACTTTCTGTCTTTGAACTCTTGTTTCCTCAGCCTATAAGGCCTGAATGTTCTACATAGTTACATAATATTTTAGGTTGAATAAAGACACAGGTCAAGTTCAAACTTTGTGTGTGTGTGTGTAGTGCGTGCTTATGTGTATATGAGTCCCTGTGTGGTCTTAATTTTCAAGAGTACCTATACCCCTGTATGTTACGGCCTCTTATGAAGGTATCTAATGAACATATAATTTTTTTTTATTTTGAAGTTTGATAAAACTTATAAAACTCTTCTTTCTCATAGCAGCTTGAGGGTCAATAGCTTTAGCTGTTTCCAAGAGCGCAGATTTTTTGTTTTATATATATACATTTTTTTTCTTTATTTGCTGCAACAAATATTTGTCCAGAAACGAAAATTCATACAAACTACCGCTAACAAATGTGGAGCTACCTTTCCAGGCCAGCCCCTGCAAATAGGCCCGACCGATCGAATCGCCTCAGTATCCAGGTCGGTGACCGGCCGCAATCCGATAGTGATGGCCCTCTATTCTGGCATATTAGAGGGCTGCTTGCTCCTCACTAGGGCCCCCAGCGAGCGGCCCTCTAATATGCCTGAATAGAAGGCCGCCGCTGCCTAATTGCGGCCGGTCAGTGCCTAAATAGAGAGCCACACCCCCACTCCTGGCGTACCTGGTGAGGCCGCACTAACTACCCAGAGCCCCTACTGATCACCCAGAGCCTGCACTAACCACCTAGAGCTCCTACTGACCACCCAGGGCCTGCAGTAACCACCCAGAGATTTTTAGTCCTCTATAGCTGATGGTATTATTCTGCAATGCTCAACGATGTATTGCCGGGAATTGTAGTCCTCTATAGTTGGTGATATTCTGCATTGCTGTGTAATACACTACTGGGATTTGCAGTCTTCTATAGTTGGGGGTATTCTGCATTGCTGTGTAATTTATTGCTGGGATTTGTAGTCCTCTATAGTTGGTGGTATTATTCTGCATTTCTGTATAATGTGTTAGTGGGATTTGTAGTCCTCTGTAGTTGGTGATATTCTGCATTGCTGTATAATGTATTGCTGAGATTTGTAGTCTCCTTACAACTTGGAGTCAGTGGCAGACCTACCAGGCTCACAGCTGCAGCTGGGCTTTGGCGCTCTACCTCTGACTCCAAGCTGTAGAGAGACTACAAATCACAGCCCGGACAGGAGGAAGAGGGCCCTGGTGACCGTCGACATTCCCATAAAAAGGCCCACCAAAATCTTCAGTAGCAGGCCTGTGATGCTCTTAATCTGGCCCTGCTCCTAACTACCCCCACAGCCAGCATCAGCAATACATTTGGCCATGCCCCTGTAGCAGCTAGTGATATCAGCCTCTCCTGTCAGTTCATGGCCTGCATAGCCCACAGTTGTAGATACCCAGCCACCACAAGATGTTTTACAAGGCTGTCCCTGTTCAAGCAAACAAGGATGCAACAAGTGGTATGCCACTGGAATCTGGGGTGTCATCTCACTTAGTTGGAGATGCTGCCAGCTGTGTCACCTTTATCCCCTCCTTCGTGTGGTTCTTCTCAAAGGACTTCATCTAACCACCACTAGGCCCCGCTCATTCACTCCAGGGTCTGTGCTCCCTTTAACCAAATGCATGACATCACCCTCTCTCTCATGCAATGCTTTAATGAACTGTCCAACATTTTGGAAGGAGAGTTCAAATCACCTATGGGACTTTCCCAGGTCAACTTATACACCATAAAAAGTCAACAAAGAAGGCATGGAGCTGGTGCCTGGAGACAGCAGAGACATTGCATCCCACTTATCCTTGTTTACCCCCTTTCCTTTGCCTTGTTTATGGCAAATATACACCTAGTTCACACACTGTCCTTCTTACCACCTTGAAAAGGAGTTTTTCTGACAGTGGAATCATTGATCTGGATTTTCCTAGCTGCCATGCCTTTTCTACCATAGAATAGACTCCAATAACATCTTTTAATATTGTGACAATTTTTGGTATAGTTTGATACAGATTATTAATAATGTGAATATATTCTAAAGCGTATATTTTTTGGGTATTATAGTATATGTAATTATTGTATTTTACTCTAAATAACAATCTTTTTTGCATATGCCAGATAATTTGCATTAAAGTGGACCTCATAACATGACGATTTGCTACCTTATAGGTATCATATACTGTAGAAAAGTTAAATGTACCTAATCAGTATTCTGACAAATCTACTTTTTTATCTTGAATTCCTCCTGAAAAATAGCTGTATACTCCTTGGCATGTGACTGTGCCCCCAGCCTCAGAACTATACATAGAAACGAGGGATATCCTACACACCTCTATGAAAAGCGTGGCTATGCACTGAATGTAGAGTATGGCATAGTTAAATAGAGTCTAAGCCTAATTACTGTGCAACAAGTGAAAGGTTTGCAAACACACACATAAACCTCAATAACTGAAATGAAAGACCCCCTTAGACAGTTGCTGAAATGCTATAAATAATTGTTCATATGCAAAACTATCTACAAAAACATCAGCAAACCCTTAACCCACTAAAAACACTTAAAACTAACTCAATATTATGACAATAAGGGTTAAGGTACACCAATGCTGTTTGTATATATTTTTTGCATAAGAATAAACAATGATAGCATTATAGCAATTGCATGGTGTGTCTTTTTTGTTTCTGTCACAAAAACATAAATAAAAATGTTATTTGTTTGTAACCTTATACCTCACTTCATTCAAATAATGCTTTTTGTTTTTTTCATTTTTAGGTTCTATCTCAGTTAATAGTCGGAATACACCCTTCCAGGCTGGGGGAGAGAGTGAAATTCTTGACCTTGAAGGAGACATGTACCTTGGAGGTCTTCCAGAACCCAGAGAAGATCTTCAACTACCCCCTGAGGTCTGGACAGCCTCCCTTGGCTTGGGATTTGTAGGTTGCATAAGAGACCTTTTTGTAGATGGAAAAAGCAGAGACATCCGACGGCTGGCTGAATCATCAGAAGCTGCGGGTGTTGCCCCTTTCTGTACTCGGGAGACTCAACGGCACTGTACAAATTCTCCATGCAGAAATGGAGGACAATGCAGAGAAGGCTGGAACCGCTTTATTTGTGACTGTGTGGGGACAGGGTACCTTGGGGACACATGTGAGAGAGGTGAGCTTATTTAATAAATATAAAAACCGCAAACCAAATAAATTGTACTTGACTGTATGCCTTTTACATATATTGGTAAATGTATGCTACCAAAAAATGTTTACTATGGATTTAAAAAACTGTTTATTAATAGGTCTTATGTTGTGGCTAGCTAGATTACGTGCTTGGAAATTGATGTACTGTTTAGTGAAATGTCCCACCCACATACAACTTTCTCTTGCTACATTGGTTGCCATGCACAGCTGTTCCAGATTTTGTCTGCTCCAGTTCCCTCCAATATTTCTACCACTTTAAGAAGTTATTTTTAAACACAATTTAAAACCTATTTCAACCTAAGAACTAAAATATACTATATTGCAACTTGCTATAACTTTGTGATGGCTGTATTAGTTTTCTATTTTTAGGCTTTTTACCTTCATTTTCACCCGGTGATGGTGCCAGTAACATACCTCCTGTCCTAGGGTGACAACCCTCACTCACTCTGCTGTACCTATGTACTGTATCTGTTGAAGACCAGAATTGTTACCCTAGAGCAGGAAGTATGTTAGGACTACAGAGCACCATCTGCTTTCATCAACTCCATAACTTAAGGCAAACTGGCCAAGGCTTATAACACTGCTTGGGATTTCTGTGTAGCAGAGGCACTGTGTTGTCTGCACAAACAAAAAATTCTGCCAGTTGTAACCCACAACAGCATAAGCAGTCGATGGGGATTTCTGAAAAAAATTGTGGAGTTTTAGGGGGGTCCTGTATTACCTGGACACAAGTTTGTAGGGTGATGGAGGTGCTGATTAGGGATGCACTGATACCAGTTCAGATACCAGGGCTGATACTTGGCATTTTCACGAGAACTACCAGGGTTGCAGCGATTGCAGCTGGGACCTAGCTCTGGCGCTGCACCACTGTCCTGAAATCATTAGTCGATATTGTTTTAGAAAAACTGTCGCATGACAAACAAAAATGTATCAGTGCCTGTGTCTGTAAGTACTCGGGCAAGTATCAGTACTTGCAAAAATGGTATTGGTGCATCCCTTTATATATGTTTATAAATACAAAATCATACATTAAACAGAGATGTACAAATCCCAGGAGCTCCGTGTGCTTCTTACAAATGACAGCTGCCTCCTAACTTTTGAATTTTTATCTAGTCTAGTCTTGGAGCTCGAAAAGTATCTATACTTGTACCAAGTATAGTAGTTGGTATCGGTGCATCCCTAGTGCTGATGGAACATTTGTACGTGTGTATGCAAATAATTTCAAACTGTTCTTCATCTAAGGTGATGTTTAAGTCCTTTTCCCAGAGTGCCTTTAATTTTTCCCTCATCTTTTACATGATTCTATGGAGGTCTCAGTATGGTGAGAATTAATATTTGCTCCCTGTATGAAATCAGGGTTCGCAGGATACTAGGAGTTGAAGAAAGGTCAAATTTCTTTGCTACCCTCTTGAATAAATCATAGGGTGCTTTGCTGGTCTCTGGCCAGGATAATTGTTCCTTTCCCAAATTATTTCAGTTGTTTGAACAGTTTTTCTTGGAAGCCTATTTGATTTGAATTATGTAAGTATGTGTTTGTTAGAGTGTTCAGTTTGGAGCCCAGTTTACTTTTCAGAAAGAGGAATATACCCTCTACTCTGCACTTGCCCTCTATGACCAAGAGGAAGGACTGCCCCTGGGTTTTAGGAGAGAGTCTGCTGCATGACCATTCTTCCAGAAGCGTATTTGTGAGGTCAGGTACTGATGTTGGACGAGAAGGCCTGGCACGCAGTCTCCGCTCTAATCCATCCCAAAGGTGTTCTATCGGGTTGAGGTCAGGACTCTGTGCAGGCCAGTCAAGTTCCTCCACCCCAAACTCTCTCATCCATGTCTTTATGGACCTTGCTTTGTGTACTGGTGCGCAGTCATGTTGGAACAGGAAGGGGCCATCCCCAAACTGTTCCCACAAAGCATGAAATTGTCCAAAATGTCTTGTTATGCTGATGCCTTAAGAGTTCCCTTCACTGGAACTAAGGGGCCAAGCCCAACCCCTGAAAAACAACCCCACACCATAATCCCCCCTCCACCAAACTTTACACTTGGCACAATGCAGTCAGGCAAATACCATTCTCCTGGCAACCGCCAAACCCAGACGTGTCCATCGGAGTGCATGATGGTGATGTAAGGCTTGGATGCAGCTGCTCGGCCATGGAAACCCATTCCATAAAGCTCTCTACGCACTGTTTTTGTGCCAATCTGAAGGCCACATGAAGTTTGGAGGTCTGTAGCTATTGACTCTGCAGACAGTTGGTGACTTTTGCGCACTGTGCACTTCAGCATGCGCTGACCCCGCTGTGTCATTTTACGTGGCCTACCACTTCGTGGCTGAGTTGCTGTTGTTCCCAGTTGCTTCCACTTTGTTCTAATACCACTAACCGTTGATAGTGGAATATTTTGTAGCAAGGAAATTTCATGGAACACCTGAATCCAATCATTTGCAGAGGTGTCCCAATACTTTTGGAACACCCACCAGTTGAGTACCAAGGATACTTATGACCCACCAGTTGAATACCAAGGATCTAGAGGAGAGCAGTGTAAATACAGGGACTAGTTCCAAATTCTTCTGTATCATAATAATTAAAACGTTTGGAAATTGATAGATCCATAGGGGAATTATTAAAATTGTTCTGCACAATAAGGGCCAAGCAAACTAGCACTTAACTAGTTAAGTGGGGTTGCTGATAAAATACCTTGATACACAGCTGACCACTAATAAATCTGTGCAAAAAATACAATAGTGAATATACAGTACATCCAGCAAATACATTTGTCATACAAAAACTACTTTCAGGTATATGAGTAAAAACTCAAAATGTATACTTACTGAAAATATACTGTACACACTCAAACTACAACAGACATAGCTAAATCTCTTCTATAAAGTGTTAGCGCAAAAAAAACAGAACTTATCAGTGAAAGGTTGATGATCCCTTATTAGCATTTGAGCACTCCATTAATTGACATACCACTGGTCTGTGTCGTCTTAGTGAGTTGTCCAAGGCTGCAGGTATTGTAAGAGAATAAAATCCTTACTTACTATGAATGGAAGGGGCCACATCACCTAAGTACCCCGAACATCTCAGGAACAAGTACCACCTAGCTTTTTAATCTTTTGGCTCTGAAATTATTCCATCCTATCTCATGTGCCTTACTCTTCACCCATTATTGAGATAGTAAGGTGCATGGGGCAAATGGGTAATACCAGAAAGCCAGACGTTATTTGGTACTTGTCTCATGGGTTTTAAAGCAGCAAAAAGGTAATTGATGCAGCATGCACTCAGGTGCCTGAGTTCAGCGCACATAAGGATAGTAAATTTAAAAAAGAAAATAAATAAATAAATTTGGCTGGATAGGTTAATAAAAAAAACAGTATTAAAGCATAGTATCCTCAAAAATCAAAAGATGGTTTTGAAAATATTTTTAATGTCTTTTACTTACTAGTAAAATTCCTAAAAAATATAAACCGAGTAACAATAAAATCATATGGCTACCACTTTTACTTCATTCTTTTGTTCTCATTCTGTTTTCCTTTATATAGAAGCGGCAGTCCTGAGCTACGATGGCAGTATGTACCTCAAGGTCCTTCTCCCTGGAGTCGCCCACACAGAAGCAGAGGATGTTTCTTTACGTTTCATGTCTCAACGAGCATATGGGCTTCTTCTGGCCACCACTTCTAAAGAGTCTGCAGACACTCTGCGACTAGAACTTGATGGAGGAAAAGTGAAGCTCACTGTAAACCTAGGTAACAACTAAAAGTTTTCTGTCCTAAGAAAATAATGAATTCACTAAACCAATGGCAGCAATCAAAGAGACAAATTTAAGGCAGAATTTAAAACGGTTATGGTGATGCTAACTAGCATTAGACATAGGGCAAATATCAGAAATGGGGATATGATCTATCCACAAATATATATACTTTTCATACAAGTAATACAGGAAAATCCACATGTATAATCCAAATTTGCATTCCCATAGAGTGGGAAAGGAAAGTGCTGAAATGAAAGCACAGGCATTATGGATGCTAACCTTGAGAATTATGGATTCCTACTGGTGCCAATAGACATATTACTAATTGGAATGATACTGGTTATGCCTTATGTGTCATGGCTACCACTAGTTTGAATAATAGTAGTAGTAGTAGGAGTTGCCCAAAACTACTATTTATCAATCACATCATTCATATCATCTTCTGTCTTGTTTTTGGTTTTTGTTTTATTAAGCAACATGTAAAATATCTCAAAATATGGGTGATTCTACCTGTAGATTTTTTTTACTGACTTAGTATAGAAATGAAGATCAAGAACAAAAAATTAGAAGGTTCTAAAATTGTTTCCTTTTTAAAAAAAACACTTTTTTTGTAAAGTCATAGTTTACACATATCTAAACACATACAGTGTCAGATCTATCTAGTTAGTTGACTGAATGAATAACAACATGGTAAACTATCTTATAATCATATAATTATATTTGACTAGGTAAAGAAATAGGGAATCTCAAGAAAAATATAATTCAAAAGCTAATAAAAGTAGCCATACTATAACCATTCTGCCCATACTTTGGTAAAACTGAAAACTTGCAATACCAATAGAGATTGTTCAAAGTGAGCATATTTATTATATCCAAAACTGTACCGTGTGGGTTTTTTTTTGGGGGGGGGGGGGGAGTTAAAGGTGATTT